CAAAATGAATGTAAAATTCTCGAAAGGTACTTCAAACTATATAACAAACAAATAAAATTAGCAGTTAGTGTAAACTTTCCAGACTACTGAGTGGTATAGCTTCATTCCTTGATTGCTGAATCCAGTAGACTCAAATATGGCAAATTATGTAGATATGCGACAGATACAAGGCCACAATGGAATAAATTATCAGACATGCACAAATGTCTTAATTATCTTCAGCTAATATCTTCTAGACCACTTGGCTGCTTTTTTTTTTTTAAAGAAAATAAAGTTTCTGTTTTAGCATTCAATCTGTCTAATAAACATATACATGTAGTAACGTAATGTCTGTTAATGTGTTAGACAATTTTATCACTTGTTCATGTAGTGTAAGACAGCGAGACTTCAAATAAGTATTTCCACTCAAAAGTTTCTTACGTAAATCAACTTGTTTGAGATATGTTAGAGACGTGTGCGTAATGTTTCTTTGTGGATTTACTTCAAAAAACAAGATGTGTTTGTGAAACATTGATGCCCCCATATGGCTACGAAGTGAAGATTAAACTTTTCTTAAATGCAAATTTTATATATTGGTACCCAAAGTAGGGTCTCCTAACTGGAAATACAATTGTGAAATATGAAAACCCTATCACCATCTGTTCCCAAGTTATGGCCAGGATAAAGTTTTTTCATATGTAAAGGGTCAGGATTTTTTGTATCAAATAAAAGGTCTTGCCACAAAGAATACATATGTGAAGCATGGAAGCCCTTGCCCTAACCGTTCAAGTTTTAACCAAGGTTAAAAAAATTTTAAAAGTAGGACAAACTCCAAGATCAAGGTCAGAAGGTCAAGGTTATTGGTATTCAATGAAAGGTCTTTAATGAAAGGTCTTGTCACAAGATTTACATATGTGAAGTATGAAAGCCCTAGCCCTTACCGTTAAAAAGTTATTGCCAAGGTTAATGTTTTTTTCATAAGTCCGGAAATCTCTAAGGTCAAGGTCAAAAGGTCAAGGGTTTTGGTCAGTGAAAGGTCTTGCCACAAAGAATACATATATATAGTATGGAAGCCATAGCTCTGACTGTTCAAAAGTTATTGCCAAGGTTAATGGTTTTCATAAAGGAAATCTCAAGGTCAAGGTCAAAAGGTCAAATTTGGTGGTACTCAAAGAAAGGTCTTGTCACAAGATATACACATATGAAATATGAAAGTCATAGCTCCACTAAATCAAAAGTTATGGGCAAGGCTAATTTTTTTGCGGACAAACAGACAGACAACTAGACAGCAGACAGAGAGACAGACAGACAGACGGACACAACAAAAAGATATACCCCCGAAACTTCGTATACGGGGGCATAAAAACGGAACGTAAGGGAAAAAAACAATAATGATAAGGTCTGTTTTTTGGATGCTGATAAAAATTGAGATTTCACAAAAGAACACATTACTTCATGATCTAAATACCATGTTTTTCGCATGTAGCAGCAAAAGTACATGTATGTATAACTACGGACTACTTAGGACTACCAATCATTTTCTATTGACTTTTTAAGAGTGCCTAATCCAGACTTTTGAAAGTCATGGTCCCAGGGTGAGGGGTTCTAGTGCTAGGGCGTGGCTATGTTGAATATATAGTAAAAATTATCTTCTCTGATCCTAGATGGGTATTTAGTACAATTCTCAGGTAAGCTTGGAATTTCAGTTAGGCGTGCCATTCTCGAAGTTACATAATTAGCATCTGAAATTTACACAGCTTTCATTTCATGATAAAATATACATGGGATAGAAATTCCGGCAAATGTCAACAAGTGTATCGAATAACCAATAACATTGTCTCGCCCGGCAAAGAGGTGGAGCTTTAGTCGTCTCATCGTCGTCAACAACATTTACAATTTTAAAGTTCCTGATGTTATTAAATGTCTTAATCAATTAGAATCTATTCGCCATTTAACAGACGCCAATTACGTAGCGCCGAGAATGCCACGCCTTCCTGAAAGTCGAAGCTTAACTGAGAATTGTACTAGCAAACAAACTAAATGCATATCTTTGATGAGTAAGGGTGCCTCTTCCAAAATTAAGAAAGCCATGATCCCAGAGTCATGGGCTCTGGTGTTAGGGCAGGGCTCTAATGATTACATAGTAAAAATGCAATAACTCTTTGAAAAATCTTTCGCCTCTACTCCTGGGTATGAAGCCAGTGAACTAAGGGTATATATGTAGCTGTGAGAAATTCGAATGTTGGTTCTTCCAGATTTGTGAATTTAATGGCCACTTGGTCAGGGCTTTGTTGTCAAGGTGGAGGTCTGGTGATTATATAGCAAAAATGCATTAATTCTTTGGGAATGAGCCTGTGTATATTCAGTGATGAATTTTGTGTTAAGTTATGATGAACAAGGGAGCCTCTTTCCAGAATTGTGAACTACAGTGTATAAGGCTCCATGGTCTGTGCTCTCCTCAACGGTGGCATCGTCAACATACATTGTATTAGACATAAGAGCCGTTTTGACGTATAGAAGTTAAACAAGGGCACTGCAAGGCGGAGCTTCCCTCGCAAAGGGCATATCTATTACTTAAGGCGGGATTCAACATCGATCCCGATGCAAATTTCATCACTACCGTTTCGCATAGAATTAACACGCTCTCTTCAAGAAAACACACCCACCTCAAGAAAACCCAACCACGGTTGCCTTACTATATCCCTTCCAACTGCGTTGTGGGAAGATTATAACGAATATTACGATGAAAAAAAACTTATTTTACGCGGACAATTGAAATATTTTTGGTAAACACGAATTTTAACAGTGTTATTTTTTTCAATAAAATTGAGCCGAAACAATACACATTGCCTGTTTTAGTGAAATTAAAATAATTATATATGTATATGTAGTAAATGTTTTCATTTTGTATTCTATTGTACGATGGCGCGTTTTCATGTGTGATATACAGGTCTAAATGTTATTTCTTTTTTATGGGCCTGGATCGATAGATCAGGGGCGTATATTGTTTTTGTCCTGTCTGTTTGTCTGCAAACTTTAACCTTCGCTATAACTTTTGAACCATGAAAGACAGAGAATTTATATTTGGTATGCATACTTCACTAATAAAGCTCTTTCAAATGACATCAAGGTCAATGACCTTGTGACCTTGACTGTGACCTATATGCTAAGAATAGCTTTTTCTGAAAACTTAAGCCTTCGCTGTAACTTTTAACCCCCTTCCCCGCAGTCACACATTTTAAGGCATATACCATTTCCTATTTTTAACGCAAAATCACTCATATACCGTTTTCCCGCAATCACGCATTTTCACGCACTATAAAAAGTTCATTTAATCTTCAATTTAATGTCAATTTCCTTCAATTTTTTACTTGCTAAAATCTCATAAAATAAGAAAAGTTATTTTCTTATTAAAATATTACTTAATAATATTATTTATGCTAAACTTTAGAGAAACTTGTACCGCACTATAAAGTGCTTGCGGGGTAATGGTAACGTCATACTTCTATGACGTGAACATTAAGTGTATGTTGCATAACAGTTCAGTAAGTTGTAAGAAGTTAAATAATGAAAGATAGAAACTTCATATTTAGTATGTATACTCTACTAATTAAGCTCTTTCCAATGATACCAATTTCAATGACCTTGTGACCTTGACTGTGACCTATATGCTAAAAATAGCTTTCTGTTTTCAAACTTTAACCTTTGCCATAACTTTTGAACCATAAAAGATAGAGACTTCATATTTGGTATGCTTACATCACTCATTAAGCCCTTTCAAATGACATCAAGATCAATGACCTTGTGACCTTGTCTGTGACCTTTATGCTAAAAATAGCTTTTTTGAGCCTTAACCATAACTTTTGAACCATAAGAGATAGAGACTTCAAATTTAGTATGCGTATTCCACTAATCAAGTTCCTTCAAATGACACCAAGGTCAATGACCTGGTGACCTTGACATTGACCTATATGCTAAAAATAGCTTTTTTCGAACTTTGTTGTCGCCGGGCGCATAGTGTTTCACAAAACACATATTGTTTTCATATGATTTTGGCAATAAGTGAATTAAACAATAACATTTGTTTCTGACTTCTTCTGTAATCACAAACAACTTTTTTCGTAAATCTATTAAATCATATTCACTTTTGTAATAAAAGTCATAATTTCTTTTCATTTCGCCCAAAACATTGAACTTTAATTAAAAAAAAAATAACTTTGACAAATAAAAATTAGTTGAGAGTCCATTATTTCGATTTCAGACTGAAAATTTTACTTGAAGAAGCTCTAAACACTAACAGAAACTGTTTTTTGGACTCAAAGAAAAAATATATCATATAAAGATATGCATTTGAGACTTTCTCATTCATTTAGAACATAGGGTACGTGCGTTATTTGCGCAGGAAAAATGTTCAAAGACAATGGACTATTTTTGAGCAGAAATCACTGTTGTTTACTTACATTAGGAAAATTAATGAAAATAATTCATTAAATTTCTTACTCTTGGCCTAATATAATGCTAAAAATATTTTAATCTATTATAAATTATGTAATTAACGGTAAATAACAATTTCTTTAATCTTATCTTACAGCTACATGTAAGGGCAGATCACTCTAACTGCATAAAACTACCCAATACATAGAGCTCTTTCGTGTGCAGTGTTAAGAGCGTCCTTAATATTTTTACCTGTTCACCGTCAGATCACCTGCGTAAAGTAGAAGTTATCTCTCTTGTCATGTTTACGATACAGAGATTGTATGCTATAATAGATGTTTCTTAAAAATCAATGCTTTGAGTGTGAGTATGTTAAAATTTTAATTTAGAAAAAAAAAATACAGAAATACTCTCTAGTCTTCTCAATTAAGTCAATCATTTATAAAAATGCATTGGTATCGAAAAGGCACGTGGATTTGCATTGAACTTGACGTAAACAGAAAATTGTGCCTGGTTAACCAATACGAGAGTGGGGACCCGCGAAAGGGCCGCTGATTTTTGCTGCGAACATCTTCAGCGTATATATACACCGTATGACGATTGGAAAAACGGTTGAACTCTCATTGTTACAATTAACAGAACATAATGAGTTTTCCACAAAATAACATGTCGTCCATTGGAACGGTTTAGGCCTTAGATTATAAAAAAAGAGAAAATCGAGAGAATTTAATGAGGTATCGCCTGTTAACTTTCTTTTAGTGTTTTATATTAGAAAAGATGGTTCAATATTGGACGGATCGTGGATAAATATAAGAGGCGCGTTAACGGTAATATTGGAGATTTATATTACATTTGATTATTGCGATGATACACATTATCGTGTGATAAGTTGGCTATTTACGGTGTATTGAGATGCTGTGCGGTCTGTCTGTCGCTGCGATAACATAGATAGATAGTGGACAGTAGCTGTCGTACTATAGAGTCTCCGATATACCTATAGTTTTACAACAGTGCTCCGTACGCCCTCAGTTTACTGTCGTCAATGAAAATTGAGTGGAGACATTTCAATTCTCGGAATGGAAAAAAATGACACCAGGCAGGTAGAGTGTACAAGAATTCTGCTCCAAGATGACGGAGATTTTAACACCGTCCGGACATGTGACAAAAAGGCATGCTGGAGATCCAAGAAAAAGAGCGCCAAGTTACTGTGTCTAGCGCTTCTATATGTGGGGTTTGTTGTGTGTAATGTTCTAAGTCGGGTGTACAACGAAATCCAAAAACAGGAAGTGGACGGGTATAATGAGGTCATACGGGTCAAAAGAAACGCCGAAATTGATGTCCTGAAAATTAACGGATCGCTGGAACAAGGTAGATTTGTTATTTTTATTTATCAAATTTTCAGTTGTTGTGGGTGGATAAAAGTACTTTGGGCAGCAATACTGGATTTTTTTTTTCAATTATACCCGCATATCCTTTTTCCAGTTTGCGCAAACTATTACGGTGTGGGTGTACCCTTTTTGTTTGTGTTTTTTGATAATGCTTGTTGTTTCTGACATTTTCTGAATTCGCTTTTAATCAAACAAAATAAGAAATTTTAAAATGTACCAGTTTTAATTTTCAAATCAGTTTTGAAAATCACTGAAAACTTAAAAAAAATTATTGCTTGAGGTTTTTTTAAAAGAATCTATACATCCATGCACGATATCGAAAACACATGGTTAAGAATTCTTTGGAATACTGCATGTGTTTGAATTTGAACCAGCTGCTATAGCTTCTTGTTATTAAGAAAAACATTGTACCCATGTTTGAAGATGTTTGCAAGACCAATAAATGTTAATAAAAATAGGAACAACAACGCGACACTCTTACTAATCTTGGCCATTAAAAAGTCGCTTTCTTCTTCACAATAAACAATGGCAGTTTTAATTAATAACACTAGATTTATCAGTATTTTCATTACGATAAAACTAATTTAATCTACATATATACAAATGTCAATACACGTTATACAAACATTAAAGGTGAATATATGTGTAAAAGGAAAATTCAACAAAACGCAGGGTCACTAAGTGACCATAAAGATTCTAAAGCCTAGAGAATTTAAAGTGACAGTCGAAAGTGATTTAAATCACGGCTAGAATAATATATTGTAGATTGTAAAGTGTCGTACTTTAACGAGGAAGCTATCTTTACTGATGAGATAGGGGGTGGAGAGAGAGAGAGAGATTGATTTCAAGAGAGAGAAAGAGAGAGGGTGGTGAGAGAGAGAAAAGGGAATGAGAGAGAGAGAGGGGGGTGGTGAGAGAGAAGGGGTGAGAGAGAAAAAAGGGTGGAGAGAGGAGAAGCTAGGGGTGGTGAGAGGGAGAGAAAAGAGGGTGGGATAGAGAGGGGGAAGAGAAGAAAAGCGTGAGAAAGAGAGAGAAGGGGTGGTGTGATAGAGAGCAGAAGGTAGATGCATTTTAAGGGAATAACAAAACAAAGTGTCAGTTTTAATTTAGTGCATAAGTTCAAGATAAAGGTTTCTTATCAGAATTTTCTATATTTAATTATGAACTATGACGTCAGCCCTGACATCTGATAGTTGATGCTGTTAGTTGATTATCTTTGATTTACAAAACCTGTTCATTTCAGCTTTACGGTACATAGCATAAAGAAATCATAAAATCCTCTCCTTTAGTTCTATTGTCTATACATGTTTTCACATTAAAAGCGTTTTCATACTTCAAGGAGGAAAAATATCAAGATCATGAAAAAAAATAAGTTTTTTATCATTGCAGTATATTTGATATGACACCTGATTTTACTATCCAGAGATCAAATAGGAGGCCTGTGAAACACTCCCTAGCTATCGATAAACAGGGTTTTAAATACATGGTGTAACAACATTAAAAAAAGTGTCAAAGAATAATTTTCCACTGTCTTCTCTATTTCTTAGAGAGAGAGAGAGAGAGAGAGAGAGAGAGAGAGAGAGAGAGAGAGAGAGATTTCCTGTGATAGAGAGAAGAAAGATTTCCTTTGAGAGAGAGAGATTTCCTGTGATAGAGAGAAGAGAGATATTTCCTGTGAGAAAGAGAGAGAGATTTCCTGTGAGAGAGAGAGAGAAGAGAAAGATTTCCTGTGATTGAGAGAAGAGAGAGATTTCCTGTGAGAAAGAGAGAAGAGAGAGAGATTTCCTGTGAGAGAGAGAAGAGAGAGATTTCCTGTGAGAGAGAGAAGAGAGAGAGATTTCCTGTGTGAGAGAGAAGAGAGAGAGATTTCCTGTGAGAGAGAGAAGAGAGAAAGATTTCCTGTGAGAGAGAGAAGAGAGAGAGATTTCCTGTGAGAGAGAAGAGAGGGAGATAGATTTCCTGTGAGAGAGAGGAGAGAGAGAGAGAGAAGAGAGAGATTTCCTGTGCTATCATTTTTTGGAGGCGGTTTTGAGTTGAACAGGTTAGACTCATTAGTCCTCGCCATTAGTCGTCTATAATTAACGGGAATGTTACCCTGTTAGACTGCTGACGTCACTGGTCCCCGTAATCTTATAAACATCAATTAAGAGCACTTTTAGATCTAATTCTGGTCATTCCATTTCGAATTATCTGTCTTCGGCTCTATTGATGAATCTTTTCCTTTTTTCAGAGATATATTGATTTTTTTTTTCGTGTATCCAGAGTATGCTGTTAAATGGTCAACCCGGAATAAGTACTTCATATGAAACTCTTGAATTTCTACAAATTTTAAATGATGGCAAAGCATTTTTAAAGATTTCTTAACAAGAATATGCGCTTGTCAATTTTTCTAATTGAAAATTAGTTATTGATTGATGCCATCAACATTGTACAGTTAACGATGGCTAATGGAGCAAGAATTATATTTTTCCAATAAATCTAATATGATTACTTGTATCATGCCGAATCTGTGTTATTGAACTTTATCTTAAAGTAGCACCAAGTTAAATTTAGCAAGATATTATCTTCTATTATGTAATATATTATTTTTTGTGTTATATAATTAAGGCATTATTATACTTTAACAGGAAACTATCTTCCCCAAAGTTATTTTCTGAATAAACTAAAAACGATTACCCACATACATGTAACTGACATATTTTATTTTTCTAGATATAATCAATATTTGTTTTACTATTTTTTAAAGCAATAGAACTCTGTTTAAGGACATGAATGAAACTGTACTTTTATTACCAGGAAATAGACCCCCTCTCCACCATGATATAATAAGTCAACATTGTACATAAAATAAAATAGACCCTAAAATATTGACACTTGAAAAAAAGGCAACTGTTGTAAAACATTTATAAATTAAATCTTACAATTGCTTTTCCTCGAAAAATGTGAACCCAATATGAAATATTTAATTTTTAGGCTATCTTTAAAATATTGTTGATTGTCATCTTCCGACTCATTGTAAAATATTGCGTCAGTAAGTAGGTGATTTTTTTCAGAAAATTTCCACATGTTATAAAAATATCCTTTCCTTGAGGTTGAAATAAGTTTTGAGTCGGGCCAGTTTTTGGCCAGTCAGTCGGGCGAGGCTATAGCCAAAGAGGGTAAACATTTTTTTTAAAAGAAGACCTTATTTAAACCATATACGTGCATGTATAAGATATTTTTAGATGTAGATCAGTTTCAATGATTTATTTTTTAATGTAAATATTTTATTGAAGGTTTGATTAAGAAGCACCCTGACGATCCCTAAAGCGAGTTACTAATCGACTACGTTAAAAAAAAATTCCTCATAAGTCGACATTAAATGGAGAAGGCGACATAAAATCTAATCCAAAATCCGTACAATAAACGAAGAAGTGTGTTTAATTATAATTTACTGGAGAAAATATTGATTATTTGGTGAAGTTGAGATCAAATACTCATTTTCTTTCCAAGTAGTTGTAGGTTGTGCTCAATTATGTTTATACTCATAAACAAAAATGCTGGAAATTTTAAAAATTATTTTCCCCATAAAACTTTTGCTATGATAATTTTCCGGCGAAGATTGCAATTCTAAAAGCTACGTGGAATGTTTGATAATTTTTCGAAATCCTCCTCGCGTTAAAAACCATTATTATTAAGAATGTTCTTAAAGTTTGCTCCAATTTGTTAAACATCCTTCATACCCTAATGAATATCTTGACACGCAACTCTCGCTATCTTAACCATTTCAATAATTGATTGTTCTTTTCCAAGAAGTTCACTTATTTTCAAACGCTATCTGAATTTTGAGGGGAAAAATGGTGACCGACTTAAAGAAAATTTACCTCACTGTTTTGTAATTAAATAATTAAAATTCTTTCATTCTTCTCTTAAAATAACTATAAAACAAATTTAACAACCAAAAAATTAAGTTGAATGTATTTCAAGAGCGCAAATTTTCCGCAATGATTACGCCCTTAATTTTTTTTTCATTGTACATAATTATTGAATTGTATTAGTTGTATAAATGTAGCTTCTGTTTATAATAAATAATACCCAGTTTATATACTAGTAAACTGAAACTTTATAAAGTATAAAAGGGTATCATATTTTACTTGTAATAGAAATCGTTAATATCATTCAAAATGTCAAAAGATTTTTTTTACCATTGCATATTTTATGGACAAATTTTCAGATTTTAATTGTAAATTAAAGGGGGTATAGAAGGGAATAAACTTTTATTAAAAGCAGTTTTATTGTTCTTCAAAATGCTTGTATGTAATTATAAAAGTTTTTTTTCCTAATTTCAGATTTTCAAGATGATTTGGAGGAAAAGAACTGTACAGAACGCTCCGTGGAAGAGTTCCCCGGAAATTTTATGTCTTTCGAGGAAACTCGGGATGGGGGCGTGTTCGCTCATATTCTTATTGTTCTTTACGTATTTGGAGCCTTAGCCATTGTGTGTGACGACTACTTTTGTGCTTCTTTAGAAATTATATGTGACGGTGAGTTCATTTAAAAATTTAAAATTAAGCCCATCTTATATAAAATGCTTGTTTGCCCTCTCCTGACCGACCCTCTCTTTTTTAACCCGCAAGAAACGATTTTTTAAAAAAAAAAAAAAATTCTTTTTGCCCAGAATTTTCTCACCTCGTCCACAAGTGAGATAAAATTTTCTTGAACAAAAATTTCCTCATTTTTTTACCCCGAGTCGGGAGAGGACAAAAAGTCATTCTTTATATTAATGGGTGGCATTATCGTTTTCACGAGAAATTTTTTCATACTATATAATACACAGACATGCCAGACAAGTTGGTGTAAATTGTATATGTTAGTTTATAAATGTTGCTACATTTTCAGATCTATATATCATTGACAAAATAATCGAGCCTATTGGAAATATTTTCATTTTTCAAAAATAAATATTTTGAGACTAGTATTTGACAGCCGACCGTGCGGTATTGATACTAATTTTTGGTTCATGTTAAGTCCATAAGTCAACCCCTTCAAGTGCAAGTTACTTAAGTCTAAAGGTCATGCATAAAAATGTAGAAATGTTTCAGAACTTTCTATATTTTGTTTTTACATTTCAACAATGTTTCAGACTTTCGTTCGTTTAAATCCAGTGTTACCTCGCTGATAAAACACAGAGAGAGAGAGAGAGAGAGAGAGAGAGAGAGAGAGAGAGAGAGAGAGAGAGAGAGAGAGAGAGAGAGAGAGAGAGAGAGAGTTAGAACCTACGTACAGAAGTTTTTCTTAAAATTTTAATTAAATGATTTCATCATCTTAAATGTAATGTTTAAAAAGTTATTCTTACAAGCATAAACTATAATTCGACATTAATATTAATTCGATAATAAAATATCAACTGATTGACAAGATTGGAGTGAAAAAATTTACATGACTATGTATAATATATAGACAACATTAGCTATCTTTCATTATCAGAGATGTTTTGTATCCGGCCTTCGTGTGGACTATGGTTAACCAGTCCAGGCGGAGTAATATTGCTTTGTGTCTTTGTGATGTGATAGTGTTGTCTGTTTATTGCGGACTATCATGCTATTCATTTCACTATTAAAGAATTCATTGTCATTTCCTTCAGAGCTCAAGTTGTCACTTTATATATCTAATTATCACTTCTATAATTAATGAAAAGGGGTTCGAAATCCAGCCAGTTTTACTTAGTCTCGCAGAAAAAAAAAATATAGAAAGAAATTTGAAATTGCATTTTTTGCAATGTTTGTTAATGCAAAGTTTTTTTGTACTATTTATAAAAGAACCCCAAAAAAGCACGTGAATAATTCTACAAATGATAAACTATTATAACTGAAAAACGTTAAATTTTTCATTAAATCCTAAAAAGTAAATCACAGACACTCAGGTATGTATTTTTCTGTACATTTTGAGATATATTCTACGATAAAAATACCAGGGGAATTTCTGAAACGAGGCAAACTACTTACAAACAAGTTGATGAAACAAGCCTAGTTCAAGTCAACACTGCTCACATTTTGAGGTCGATATAATGAGCTTATCTCAGCAAACACAATCGATCAGTAACTTGAATGAAAATTATTTTGACTGACGATTTTTCAAACAATTTGTTCAACGATTTAATTACTGTCTGAATTGTCTTTGGATTTTTTTCGTTTTAACCCGAACAAGTCAAAGGAGCACACCAGTGCACGTAGGGTGTTACCGGTCGACAGGGAATGCTTTCTCCTTCATGGCACCACATCGCCTCATGATAGTTTCAATGGTCCGGTTTGCTCTTTGCCTAATTATTGTTGCAATGGATTTGTATTATTTCTGATCATACTTGTACACTGTATTTCATCTGGTTTAAATTATTAAACCCAGAAAACGTGTTTGGATATATGTATTATCGGCGGTATCAATTTATTTAATTTATTATGTGAGTTGTTTTATTTTATCTATTGGATTTTTTAATCACTAAATAAACTGAATCTTAGTTACATGTAAAACTGCATGATTCCGAGAATAAAGGCATGTGGGTTTTATCAAAGTTTTTTTTAACGATATAGAGCATTATGTAAACAAATGCAGGTGAAAGAATAATTTGAACAACATCTATTTTTGAGTTCCTGATTTAAATCTTCAAACACGATCACGTTGTTTCTCATACTTTGATGCATTATATACTCGTATAATGAATCATGGTGCAGCAAAAAAGGCGATTTTTTTTCACAAGCAGTGTATCGATAAACCACGGAGTCATAACCGAACAGAGGGTTAATTCCCGGGTTAACCAAGCCTCTTTCGATGACAGTCTGTAGAAGCAAATTAACGGATTGGGATGACGAGCTGTGAATTATTGTGTGAAAGAGTCTGAACTGACAGATAAAATGTATAATTACATTGGTCAGTCATCTTTGAACAGCAAAAACAAGATGTATTCGTGAAAGTATGATGCCCCCGTATGGCAACTTACGGTGAAGGTTAAAGTTTCTCAAATGCAGGTCAAACTCCAAGGTCAAGGTAAAAGATCAAAATTGTTGGTATCAAGATGAAGATCTTTTCACAAAAAATACACTTGTGAAATATGAAAGCATTAATACTTATCGTTCCAAAGGTTATGGCCAAGTTTAAAGATTATTGCAAAGTGGATAAAACTCTAAGGTCAAGATCAAGAGGTCAAAATATTTATACCAATTGAAAGGTCTTGTCACAATGAATGCGAATTCGAAGTATGAAAGTCCTGGCACCAAGTATTCAAAAGTTATGGCCATGCAAGGTTAAAGTTTGGTATTTTTTTGTAAAAGTGGGTCAAAGTCCAAGGTCAACGTTGCGAGGTCAAATTTTGTGGTACCCATAGAAAGGTCTTATCACAATGTATACATCTGTAAAACATGAAAACCATGCCCTCACCGACTCAAAAGTTATGGGCAAGGTTAAAGTTTTTGCAGACAAACAGACAGACAACTAGACAAACAGAAAGACGGGCGGACAGGGCAAAAACTATATACCCCCAAATCTTCGATGACGGGGCATAAAAAAATAATACAAGAATATGAAAGGTAGCATAATACATGGGAAACACGTGTTTGTGAAACACAACGTTCCGGTAGGGCAGCTCATAGTAAAAGTAAAGTTTCTTAATACAAGTGAAACTCCATGGTCAAGATATGAAGAACATATAATGGTATCCAAAGAAAGATCTTGTCAGAAGAAAGACACCTATGACTGAAAGCTTTAGCTCCAATTATTCAAATGTTAAGACCAAGTTTCAAGTTTCTTAAAAGATGGTCGAACCCTAAGGTCTAGGACAAGAAATCAAGATGTCGGTACTCAGAGGAAGGTTCTCTCAAAAGAAATACACATGTAAAATATGAAAGCTCTAGTCCCAATTGATTTATTTTGTTGTTTAACGTCCCTCTCGAGAATTTTCACTAATGTGGAGACGCCATCACTTGCCGGTGGAGAGCTGCAAATTTTGTCCTATACCCGGCACTTATGGCCATAGAGGAGTGAGGGATTTTTTTAGGTGCCAACACCTATTGTGACACGGGACCTCGTTTTAAACGGTCTCATCCGAAGGACCGGTCTCAAAAAGGAATTCGAACCCGCGACGTATGGATCAACTCCTAACCATGCGACTCTAGAGCAGACGCTCTAACCACTGCGCCACGCGGGCGACTTAAAAAGTAGGTTCAATTCCAAAGTCGAGATCAAAGGATCAAACTAATTGCTGCTTTTACAAGAAATACACTGAGAGGTATATTTATAAATGTGCGTGTTTTCCAGGACTTCCAGAAAGTCGTTTCTGACTGTATTTTTGTAATGTCTTCGGTTTAGAAGAAAGACGTGTTTACACAAATTATGTAATGTAGCGGAGCTGTTTGCTGAAGATCTGATCCAGGCTAGCGTTTGAGGATTTTCTCTTAGCTTTTAAATTCAGCAGGTTAATAACTCAGCTGGTGGCTTAAATTCAGAATGAAGACGTCCTTTGGCCATCATTACACTTGAGTTATTAAATAATGCATACATGTATAAGTTTCTTGTTTTTTAATTGTTTGCAAGTTAATAAAGGAATACGTGTAACAAGCTAATTCAGAGAATTCGTGTCCTGTATGACTTAAAAGGAAAAGAAGAGAGTTTAAGAACTGTAAAAGTTTTGCAGATGGAGAAAAGCCATAGGTAATTTTGGTATAATTGTTTTGCAAAAGCCAACAAACTTCTGAGATAATTGTCTCAAAATGAAAATGTTTCACTCAGACAGAATGGCAGGCTGGAGGACCGACGGTCAGCTAGTTAGTACGAACAGACAGACAGACGGACCCAAATTAAAATCCCCCACTTTCAGTAAAAGCGGGGAACATTAACTCACAGTGGCTTATATTTCTTGCTTATTGTCATCAAGGCGGTTTATTACGTGAGTAATTATACAGGGATGGGGGTAAAATTAGCTGTAGCACGTAATGTACATGTATGTAACTTTTGGTTTCAGAGTTGAATCTACAAGAAGATGTCGCAGGTGCTACATTTATGGCGGCTGGCAGCTCAGCTCCAGAATTCTTCACGGCTTTAATAGGTACGTATACATAATTAATTAAACCTAATAGTCTGCTGTTCTAAGCTTTAATAAGTATAGCTGCAGAACTGTAGCGTTATGGTTTTATGTATCAGTCTTTGACCATAGTTGGGACAAAGACTTATACATAAAACCATAACGCTACAGTTCTGCAGCTATAAAAAGTACGGATGCAAAACTGTTTGCTGTTCACTGCTTTAAAGCCATATATGGCGTAACTGATCAAAAAGTATGTTTTCGAAAAATACAAAATTAAGTAAAGAAATATAGTAAATACATTTAAATTAAAGCTTTTCATACAATTCTGAACATGGAGAAAACCTCGTTTCATCTAATAATACGATTTTATCTTCTCTATAATGTGTTATTTAAATCGTTTGTATTTTCTTCCGAGTCGGAGAAAATTCCGAAAATCTAAATTAAATTGTGATATCTTTATAACGCAATTGACTTAGATTTTGTAATTTACGGAAAAGTTCTATCTTTATATAAAGTAATGATACAAATAATAAGTTCTTATAATTTTAGTCTAATAATTTTCATTGTACATACGCCATATATGGCTTTAATAGGTACGGATACATACCTGTAACTTTTTGTTCAGTCAAATAAGCTTTTGAAAAAGATAGCTTAGAATAATACAGTAAAACACAGTTGCTGTGAAGATTTTTTTTTAATTAACGCTTTCGGTAAAGTCGAACAGATACCAAATAGCCAGTTGACTGAAACAGCCGAGAATCCTACAGTAAAACACAGGTACAACGAATCTCCTGAAAAAGAATTCACCCATTCTGTGAAGTCACACAGGTACATAATTAACTAAACCAAATAGAGTGCCGAAAGGGATTAGTTAGAAACATAAAAGTAAATCAGTTACATCAAAGATGCCTGTAAAGAAGTAACCCTTTCAGCGAAGTCACAGACATATATGTTGCGAGAGGTTGCACAGAATCTTAATTACGCAATGCCATATCAGATTTCTTTGATAATTTAAAAGTGTATTTTATGTCATTCTTTCAATCAGTCTTTATTTAGCAACACTATACATTGATGACTAATTTTAGTATCGATTAAACGTCGGATAGAGCTATTACTATTTTATCTTAATAAAAAAATCACAAATATGACAAGAAATTGCAATAATAATTTAGGATTGTTTACATTTAACATATTTTTTCATCGTCTATCTTAAAAATTGCCCTTTTATATTAATTTTTCATGGATCTGATTTGTTCAATCGTAAATAGATTCCCCCTCATCAATTTTCATTTCATACTAAATTCTTACTTTTGTAAATTGGTTTAGATAGAACTCGGCTAAGTTCTAATCGATACATGTAAGACAAACCTCTTCCTTCTCTAAAGTTCGAACTTTTACAAGATAGATTTTTCCCCAGACATCAATATTTTGTTCTATATATAGTTTCCATTAGCACTTCCTTTTCTATCCCTCGCCATGTAAGTGCATCAGGATAAATGTCCCAGGCTGTTATTGGTGCCTCTGTCCTTTGATTATCAGGCTGAACTATATAGGGGGAAAAATTACATGCATATTTAGAATTTAGAACGGTTTTTATCAGATTAGTTGACAAAAGCGATAAAACCTGCTGTTAAATCTAGGCTCTGACTATTATGTGTAAGTGAAATATTATTACAAAACCATAAAACGAACATCTGTTATCCCAGACACTCTTTTTTTATTTTTAGACCGTGTTCTACACCATATGTTTGTATTCAATATTTTTTAAAATATAAATGTAATATCTATGTTTAAGACATGTAGAAAAAATTATCATCTTACACATCCTTAAAAAATAAACCTGGTAATACGCAATCGTAAAAATAATATTTTCACAATTATGGATTCAATACTTAATAATTTATTAGGTGCTATGGCAATAATTATTTAGTAAATAAATGCATTTTGCATTTTATAGTATTTTATAGTATAACTCTACTTTCAATATTCGATTTAATTTTCTAGATTTATTTAGCATAGATTTAAATGAAAGAAAAACAAGAAGTAGATCAAAGGCACGGGATGCACATGTACCTCTGATGTTCAGTTAACTGAATGGTCACTGAAAGGTTTGAATAGATGACTGAATGGCATGCTGCTCAGTAACATTTCAGTTATCTTTCAGTCACCTTTTCATAAAATTTCAGTCATATTTCAGTTATCTAAATGGCAAAGTTTCATCCTATGAGCGAAGATTAATTCATTTTGCTGCTGTCAGTTCTTCAAACTTTTTTTTATTTTACAAGGTGTCTTTATCGCCGAGAGTGACGTGGGGGTAGGGACAATTGTTGGATCAGCCGTCTTCAACATCCTATTTATTATAGGAGTTTGTGGACTCTTTGCAGGAATGGTGAGTACTCCTTCCGTGATTTCATGTGCGCAAAAGTGAAAATTTTATACAGTTTTTGCATGTATTATAAAAGTGTTATTTTTTGTCTTCAGCTAATGCGAAAAATTCGCATGAAATTCAAATTGTGCTTGAATAACTAACCTTTTCCTGTTAATAATGTAAATGCAAACAAAGGGAATTACATAAATTGACGTTTGCTTAAAATTTATTCTAAAACTTGTAGTTAAAAGGAATTGGTATTATAAATATGAAAGTTAACAATCTAGATGAAAACAGCGAATTAGTCCAAAGAATGTCCTCATTAACTTGAAGACACAAAAGCAACGCAACTTTGTTTTATACCTAAGGTGCATATTATTTATGATTTCACATATTTTTTCTATTCACAATTATGTTTGAGGCAACAAAAACATTACAAATATTAATGTGAATTTAGACCATTGAACTTTAAAAGTGCTTTTAAAAAGCTGTTTCCCATTTCCCTTCGTATTCTTTTTGAAGTTCATTAATATTCAAGCTTGTTTGCATACATTACTTACTATCCACGTTTCAACAAAGATACTTTCAATCTTTTCGAGCTATTCTTCTGTTACATGTATAAACTAACCCAATTCTTTATTTGTCTGGTTTTTACATGTTGCTTGATAGCTGCAGATCTGTAGCTCTCCGAAAAAAATATATTGATAGACCGGAGAGCTACAGTGCCACCCATTGAAAAAACTGTATATTTATTGCGCACAAAAAAGTGCGCTCGGTTCTCGATTTATTTCTCCATGTTTTTAAAACTGTAATCTCAAAATATTACTAACCGTGTGTTCCTAACATATTCTTTCGCTGTTTCCACAACCAAACATTCCTCATAATTGTTGTTAATAGTCCTCCTGACCCTGATATTGTAATCATCAAACATTTCGCTTATTTATACTGCCATTTTGGTTTCAAAGATAATTCGGTCCAATATGCTTCGTTCGGATGTCAACTACGAGAGTACTTGATAGAAGATAAAGGAATTTTTTGAAATCTTTCCTTATTTGCAATTTAGGTAAGAATTTGGAAGAATTAATTAAGAACCGAGCGCACTTTTTTGTGCGCAATAAATATACAGTTTTTTCAATGGGTGGCACTGTAGCTCTCCGGTCTATCAATATATTTTTTTCGGAGAGCTACAGATCTGCAGCTAGTTGCTTGACAAATTGAATGTTCAATGAATTGTGTAAATTCTGCCCAACTTTAATATCCATATATTCAATTGTATTGCTTTAGTAGGTCAGTATCATCTTAAGGTTTGCCAAAGTTATTCTCAGGTCAATTTCATGATACTGAAGTAAATCAGTTTGAAGTAGTCGAGCGCTAATTTGAAGAAAGTTAGGACTATAGCGAAGAGGTTCAGTTTTGTTCTAAAGCAGCTTAGGGCTATTCGGAACAAAAGTTCCATTTTGTAGTAAGTCAGTGCTATTCTGAATTAATTTAGTACTTTCTTGAAGGAAGAAAATACTTTTTTGATGGGTAGGTCATTACTATTCTGATGAAAATCAAGGTACTTTGAAATAGTAATACTAGTAAGTCAAACAACTCTGAAGTACGTCAGTACTATATTAAAGTAGGTCACTGTTTATAAATAAACACAACAAAATAATCACGATATCAGTTTAGTATTTACTCTTTCTATTACATAGGTTGATGTCAGGTAATGAGCATACCTTTAAGTGTGCACTGCTGAACAATATTTGTGAAATATTAAACCCAGGTAGATAAGAAAACTCCTCCGTCGCCAAAAAAAGTCCTATCACAAAACAATAAAATGAGCATTTCATAACTACTATTGTCTCTACATGTATGATAAACTTGATAGCAAGAACATTTCATTGAGTCGCATTTTGGTTGGCTTGTTTGACCGATTGTATAGGCCTTTGCTTTTTATACTGAATTTGACTACGGAATGATCCGTTTGCCTGATCAATACAAATTAATGTCATATGCAACGTAGTTTGAACTTCATGGGCTCTTCCCTGGAGTTGAAGAGTTCCACTAAAAGAAGGGCCTGTGTGCAATACTTTTAATGTCTATATATGGATTTGTACACCTCTTCTTAAACAAATCTGATGGAAAAAAAAATTGGAATTTATATGTTATATTTTTTATATATTTTTCTTTAAATAATGAATTTTTTTTCATAATCTAATATCTTCCAAAAAACCCTGGTTATGCAGGCTGATTTTTTGTCTATGAACATCTGATGGCACTCTTATCTTAAATTAAGAATATCTTGAAAAATTATCAGTAGATAAGGTACGTTGCGTATGTCCTTAAGACCCCTCGTGAGGGGATGCTTGCTCATCCTAAGCACCTGATCCCACCTCTGGAATTTCCATTGGTGCGCATTTGTGTCTTTTCCCCAATTTTGCATATATTTTTTCAAGATTTTTGAGATCGGAAACTCTTCCATTAATATTTTCCCCTTTTCATAATTACAGTACAGAGAAGCTAAAATGACCTACAGTGGAGGTCGATTAGTTGGTAATATGTACCGCTAGATCTCCAGTACAGAGGATAATTAAATTACATTCCAAGTATTTGTTTGTCAATAGATATGCAGCAATCTAATTATTTGATATCAATGTAGTCCCTTGTCTTGGTTTTCTTCTATATCGGTTACATGACACGTGTTTCTTGCTCACGTGGCCGAAGATTCCCGCTGGTTTCCCTGTCGTTTGCTGACTTCTCCTGATTTTGATTTCTCGTGTTTTTGACTGCTCTTGTTTTTGACTTCACTTGTTTTTGACTTCCGTTGAAAATTTCTATTTTCAGCAACCAGTGACGTTACTGTTCACACAGAGTTATGATATAAGATTTCTACAGGACTTTAAGATATATCATCTAAAATGTAAAGTGCACTTCCACAGTATGCTAAATTGATCCAAGTTTTTATGATTAAATATATTGCATTGTCTACACACCCTTGGAGGCAGGGGACAGTTTTTTAGGTCACCTGAGTCACTCAGGTGACCTATTGCTATCTGTTTTCGTCCGTCGTCGTCCGTCGTACGTCGTTCGTCGTTCGTCGTCAATCGGTCGTAAACTTTTGAACATTTTCAGCTTCTTCTCTGCAACCACTGAACCAATTTCAACCAAATTTGGCACAAAGCATCTATGGGTGAAGGGGAACAAAAATTATGAATTTCATGATTCCTGCCCCCCTGGGGCCTGAGGGGTGGGGCCAAAACCACTAAAATTAATGCAATCTTTAAAAATCTTCTTCTTTACTCCTGGACATCAAGCAGTCAAACTGTTTGCATGATTGTAATCAGCATTGAGTCCTTTACCAAAATTGTGAAATTCATGGCCCTGGGGTCAGGGGTACTTGTGCTAGGACGGGGCTAAAAAAGTATATAGTGAAAATGCATTATTTCTTTAAAAATCTTCTTCTCTGCCCCTGGGTATTAAATAAACTAACTAAGTACATAGTTATGATGAACAAGAGTGCCTCTACTAAAATTGTGAATTTTATGGCCCCAGGGTCAGGGATTCTGGTGTTAGGGCGGGGCTCTATTGATTATATAGAGAAAATACATGAATTCTTTGAAAATCTTCTTCTCTGCTCCTGGGTATTAAATATACTAACTAAGTACATAGTTATGATGAGCAAGAGTGCCTCTACCAAAATTGTGAATTTTATGGCCCCAGGGTCAGGGGTTCTGGTGTTAGGGCGGGGCTCTATTGATTATATAGTGAAAATACATGAATTCTTTGAAAATCTTCTTCTCTGCTCCTGGGTATTAAATAAACTAAATAAGTACATAGTTATGATGAGCAAGAGTGCCTCTACCAAAATTGTGAATTTTATGGCCCCAGGGTCAGGGGTTCTGGTGTTAGGGCGGGGCTCTATTGATTATATAGTGAAAATACATGAATTCTTTGAAAATCTTCTTCTCTGCTCCTGGGTATTAAATAAACTAAATAAGTACATAGTTATGATGAGCAAGAGTGCCTCTACCAAAATTGTGAATTTTATGGCCCCAGGGTCAGGGGTTCTGGTGTTAGGGTGGGGCTCTATTGATTTTATAGTAAAGATACAAGAATCCTTTGAAAATCTTCTTCTCTGCTCCTGGGTATTAAATAAACTAAATAAGTACATAGTTATGATGAGCAAGAGTGCCTCTACCAAAATTGTGAATTTTATGGCCCCAGGGTCAGGGGTTCTGGTGTTAGGGTGGGGCTCTATTGATTTTATAGTAAAGATACATGAATCCTTTGAAAATCTTCTTCTCTGCTCCTGGGTATTAAATAAACTAACTAAGTACATAGTTATGATGAGCAAGAGTGCCTCTACCAAAATTGTGAATTTTATGGCCCCAGGGTCAGGGGTTCTGGTGTTAGGGCGGGGCTCTATTGATTATATAGTGAAAATACATGAATTCTTTGAAAATCTTCTTCTCTGCTTCTGGGTATTAAATAAACTAACTAAGTACATAGTTATGATGAGCAAGAGTGCCTCTACCAAAATTGTGAATTTTATGGCCCCAGGGTCAGGGACTCTGGTGTCAGGGGGGGCTGTATTGATTATGCATGTATAGTGAAAAAACATTAAATCTTTGAATATTTTCTTCTTTGCTCCTAGGCTTTAAGCATATGAACTACCTATATAGTTATGAGCAAGGGACCTAATCTTCAAGAATTGTAAATTTCAAGACCCCAGGGTCAGTTGTACCATAGGGGGGGGGGGGGGGGGGGGGGGGGGGGCTGTTCTTATATACTAAAAATGAATGAATTGTTTGAAATGTGCCCCTTGGTATTTATCAAATATTTTTGAAAAGCAAGGATGCCTTTCCAAAAATTGTGCAATGTGTGGATCTAAGCCTAAGAGTAAAGGGTTCTTGTGTGGTAGCGGCACAACTGATTATTGCTGAATATTACTGATTTGTTGAAATGCATTTTTTGTTCCCCTACCCTGCCTTTGGGTATTAAGCAACCAAACTAAGGAACTGTTAAGTGTATAGTTA